GTATTATACTTCAATTTTATGCTAAACTCCTGTTAAAACATCTTAAATTATAAGTTCACTTTCATTATAATTATAAAAAATTATGTAATTCCTACCAATATCATAAAAATAATTAAACGGTACTTTCTTCCTTAAATGATCAATTTGAACAATATTTAAATTTTCTTAAAAACTTGAGATATATTTTATATAATTTATGCCATTGTTATCAATTGTGAAATAAAAAATGCTGTTTGCTAAATCTATATAAAATGGAAAATCATAATAGCTAGAATCGATTTTTTCCATTGAAATATCATTTAGTAATTGTAAAGATTATGCACTAAAAACTAGTAGGAATTTTACATTATTAAATAATTTACATAAAATAATGATCTAATTTCCAGAAGTTTTAATTTCAATTATTTAATTCGAAGTTTACTGATAAATCCTTTTTATTTATTTTAGCTCCTTTTATTCAGATGTATAACAGTATAAAACAAAATTTTTATCCATTAGAAACTTGTAACAATCTAAATAGCTAATAGGGTAAAATGAATTATCTAATTATTAGTCTGTTATAAGTGTTTATTTGTTAATTATTTGAGTACTATAATCTCCAGTAATGACATAGTGATATTCTAAACTACTGTTGGAAAAAGTGCTACCTAATCATTCAAATCTAAATACATCATCTAACTAATCTTTGAAAAATATTTAATGCCGAGAATAAACATATTTTTTAACATAAAATTGTGATTGATTGGCATAATCAACTTCAAAAACGTTGATATTCTTATCTAGACGAAATAATATTATCTCATCATATAAAGTAACTAGTACATCAAACTGAGATTAGATTGAAGAATATTTAAATAAACTAGGTTATTCAAATTATAATTCAATTAAATGATTTCCCGCCTCTTTCTCAAATTCTTCAAGTTTATAAAGATAAATATTTCCATTTTAAATTTAAAACATAATGTAATCAGCGTTATCATAAACCTAATAGGTTATGTTTGAACCCTAGTAAATTTAAACAGTTTTAATTAGCTAAGAAGAATCTTTCTTAACGACATCTAAAAATGAATTATCTCTTTTGCATATTATCAAATTTTTATGTTCTAATATAAAAATTTATTCTATTTTCCCCTCAATTTTTATTAATGTTTTTTAAATTCTACTTTCCTCCTTTGAATAATCAACTTCTTGATATTTATCAAGAATCCACTAATAATCGGTAGGGACAATATCTTGAAACTCATTAGATTTTTTATCAGGTTTATTATACCCATCTAGCAAAGGCTGTGTAATTTCTGAGGAACTATTTTAGAGCATTTTTTAGGATTTAAATATTAATTATATTTTTGCTTTAATTAAAATTTTAATAGTACTAAAATTTTATCGATTTGAAAAAAAAGTTTTAAAATGGTGAAATTTAAATTAGATATAATATAATGCTACTAATTATAATTATCATTCACTTTTTTCTAATCTTATACATATTATTTTCCAAGCGGGGTTTTGGGGTTTTGGGGTTTTGGGG